CCAGTGCACCGGATGCAACAGCAAGCAGAAACACCAACATGACCCTCAGGTTTGGAGGCAGATTTATTTTACACGATAGGCACTGATTTGGATCATTCCTGAAATATCATGCCCCGATCTCTGGTGGTCTGGGGCTTATATGAGATAAGCAAGCAGGAAGTACAGAGGTAGAATGGCTGGTCAGTTGGGGACTGGTTCTTACTGGACAAAGAGGTATATCCAGTGGGTAGAGAGAAATTCAGCTAAATAAATGAAAGAACTGATAGAGCAATTGAGTGCCAGAACCAAGAGCTTCTGGAGCTGATGAACCATGGAGACCTTGGGGTTCTACTCTTGGAGGCTTTAGGCCCTGTTGATAGAGCGGCCTGGGGGACTGCGCTTCTTTATTTCTACTTCTAGCACTGATACTGCTTGTCTTGAATGTAAGATGCTCTCTATGGGCCCCTTTCCACTTTCCCCCAGTGGGCTGTCTCTGGTGAGTAATGCAGTCAAAGTAGACTATAGTGCCACAGGGAAGAGTAGTGTAGAATTTAGAGGCTAATCCTTCGTTGTCTTTAAGTCCTTCTCGGCATTCATACTGAATATAACCATCAGTTCAGCCCGATGTAGGAAAAATACTGTAAAGGATCCCAGCTTACCTGGGAACGACCCGTGAGACGCTGTTATTTTCTATCCGCTTCCATTCCTCAGAGTAAAAAAGTGAGACAGGGAAGAAGCAAGATATAGAGAGTGAGGATAAGGCGGGTAGAGGTCAAAGGATAGGAAATCAGAATGAATTTTCAGGCCCTCTAGACACAAGTATTTGTACAAAAACATTTTATAATGTAGTAATTTGGAGTAAGCATATTATCCTGACGTATCTAAACAGACGACCAGAAACTGATGTGCTTGCACTTCAGTAGTTACAACTAAGGATTATGACAAAAAAGTACATTCACCAGGAGGTTATATTGACTCGAGACTTAAAAATAGCTCCTTATAAAATACCTGAGAACTTTGCCTTTGCTGCTGAACATCCCCCACATTTGATAGCAATCTAAAAGTGACTCCTTCCTGTCCCTGCATGACTTCCTAATAAGGCACTCAGTCATCGAGACTGCCTGCCTATGAAAAGCAGCGTGTGCCTACAGCACTCCTCACCCCCTGACACGCATCACATTTCTTTGTCACTGCCAGGCCCGTTCAGATTTATGCCAGCGGTGCGCTGCCCCACTAGGACGCCGGAGTACAGCATGGCCTCGCGCCGTTGGGCTGACCGTGACCTTGCGTGCCACGCAAACAGAGACTCACTCACCACCCCACGTAAACAGAAGGGGGGGTTATTTATGGAGAGAGAAGGAGCGGAGGAGTGAGGAAAGGGGAAATGGGGAGAGACTGAGCCACGGAAAGTCGAGGAGCAGGACTGGAGGAGTTCAATCCTTAACTTTGTTTTCCTTTAGCAGGAAACCAGAATGGCCCCCCTGGAAGGTCTCTCAGGGACCCTAAGGGGAGCCCTGTGGGAATGCAGGAACTGGGTCATGTGATTTCATCACACTGAACTCCCAGGAGATGTCCAGGCTCTTGCAATGGAGGCTTCCTTCATGTGAACTAAAAGTAATATCAAGATGAATGAACTTTGGCCTGATTTCATTAATATCAAAACTTGATAGTAAGGCAATCAGTGCTTTATGAACTAATAGCAAAACCGAGGTGAACAGATTTTGGCTCAGTTTCTCTAATTAAGATTAAATAGTGCTTTGCAATCCCATGTTTTCCAGTACCACATATCCCTGGACTCCCTGTAGTGTGGTCCTAAAATCCTCTCTTCTCCCTTTGCAATGGGGGATGGAGGAGAAACCTCTGGCCGCCTCTGGGAACCGGCAGAAGAGATAAGATCCAGCTCACTGTGGTTTGGGTTCAAATGCTGCCTTCCCGGGATACCTGCCCTAAGTCACACACCACCCCTTTGCTGTGTGCCACTTTAGCCTATTTCAGTGTTGTTTTTCACAGGCACTTACCACACCAGAAGGTTTCTCGTGTATCTGCTTGCTCACCTGTCTAGGGCATGCAGACAGCCCTGGTCTGGAGGCCCCCAAGGGGAGGACCCTACTTTGTTAAATACTGCTCTCTGTGGGGGCTCCAAGGTTCTGGTCCACAGGAGAGGTGCTGGCTGAATAAACAAATAAATAAAAGGTCACTTGCGTGGTCAAATGAGGGAATGCATGCACTGCAGAAGTGGGTCAGAAGCCCTGCTTTGAGAGAGGTACAAAAGAGGCGAACAAAGGAAAGAAAAGCAAGCAGGGGCTCAGCTTGCTCCTAGCTGAAATCACTTGCTGTCTGCCTCCTTGCCACCCTCACACTTCCCAGCCCTCTCTCAGCTTGAAATCCAAAAGCCTGCTGTGAGATAGTCAGCGGCAGTTTCTTGCAGGACACAGGCAGCAGGTTCCCTCACTTTACTGATGAGCTTTGATGTGTAGGGGCTGGGAATGGCTAGTGTAATATTTCTGATTCAGCTCCAGATGGCGCCCAACTTACAATGGCTTTTGTTTTGTTTTGTTTTGTTTTGCTTTGTTTTGTTCTGTTTTGTTTTGTTTTGTTTTGTTTGAGACGGGGTCTCACTATGTAGTTCAGGCTGGCCCTGAACTCACTATGTAGCCCAGGCTGGCCTGGAACTCACAGTGATCCTCCTGCCTCAGCCTCCTGAGTGCTGGGATTACAGATGTGTTCCACTATCCCTGGCTTTGGTTTGGCTTTAAAATGGGATAAAAGTAACCGGATGTGGGGACTCCTCCGGCCGGATGAGGCAGGAAGGAAGATCACAAGTTCAAGCCCAGCCTAAGAAATTTAGCACCTCTCTGAGACCCTGTCTTGAAGTAAAAAATGAAATAGTCTGGTGATGTAGCAATGTAAAGCCTGGGGTTCAGTCCTCAGTATTGGAGAGGGAGGTTGGCTGTGACAGTGATAAGCATTCAGTAGAAACTCATTTCAAATTTTGACTGTGGATTCTTAGTCTAATGATAGGCAGTAGGCTTGATCTTCTCTGCTCATGCTGGGCAATAGCAGTGAGCTGCAGCTGTCAGCAACGTACTCAGAGGTGGAGCTAGGGGCACAAGTATACTCTAGTTGCTGTGTTGCTAAGCTGTGGCTCTCAGTAGATCAAGCATATTAAATGCATTTCACACGTATATTTTCAATTTATGATGGGTTTATCAGGAAGTAACTCAACTGCAAGTTGTGGAACATCTGTATAATCTAGCCCAGAACTTTTTTGTTTATTTGTTTGTTTTTTGTTTTGCCTTGTTTTGTTGAGAGAGGGTCTCACTAGGTAGTGCGGGCTGGACTTGAACTTGTTAGGTAGCTCAGTTTGTTCTCAAACAGCTCATGCTCCTGGCTCAGCCTCCTGAGGGCTGGGATTACAGGCAAGTGCCTCTGCGTCCAGTACCCAGAGACTTTGGGTCAGAGAGCCCACACTGGGCCCTCTGGAAGAACAAATCAAGAGGCGTGCAGCATTTGAGATGGTTCAGATTCTGTTTTGTTTGCTTTTGGATTTTTAATGCTTATTATTGGGGACCTAGGTTCAACGAGGCTGGAAAGTGATAGAAATCTTAATCAGATAATACGTACAAGAAATCTCAGTCATGGGAGACAAGGACGAATCTGAAACACTGTCCATAAGGTCAGTGGCTATGAACCACGACGGAGAACTGAGAACTAGCTAATTTGGGGAAAATGCTAAGCATGATTTTGACCTTGCCGAGCTTTAGATGACAGCAAAATATCCTGTAGAGATTGCCACATTCTGTAAGTTGATAGAAAGGTAAGAGTTAGAGACACGGTGAGAATCTTATATAAATCTGGATTACACACTGAAATAAAGGAGACTTTAGTCTGTTCTTAGTTCTTGGCAGGGGACTTCAAAAGCCACTGGGACTTCTTAAGTGACAAGCATGTGTTTGTTATGCTAAAGAGGTGTCTCCTGTGGGTCTCTCAGCCGTTCAGGGTGGGGCTGGGCACCAGAAAGCACAACCACATGATTAGAGGGGCTGGAATTTTGGGTCAGTCCGATCTCCAGTGTGGGCAGGATGGAGACTGAGTTCAAGCGTACGGCCAATGATTTCATCAATGATATCTACTTAAGAAAACCCTAGAGAAAAAAACAGACCACAGGAGCTTCCTGGTTGGTGAACACTTTGGCAGATTTGGATGGAGAAGTATCCAGATTTTATGAAAAGAGGACTAGAAAGCTCTGGAAACCTCACCCTGTAAGTCTTTTCCATGTGGCAGGTTTCAAACTGTATCCTTTATCATAAAACCATAATGTCAAGTAGAGCTGACCCTCAGCATTCAAGGGGGATTTGTTTCAAGAGGCCTACAGGTACCAAAGTCCATGGATGCTCAAGTCCCTTCCATTAAATGGCATAGTATCTTCATAAAATGCACATGCACCCTCCTGCATGCCTTAATAAGGTCTAGATGACTTGTAACAGCTAATACAATGTAAATGATATGTAAATAGTTGTTTCACTGGATTACTTAGGGAACAGGGACAAGGAAAAAAGTACATTCATCTTTAAAACAGATGCAGTATTTTCACTCTAAGGTTGGTTTTTATCTGTGGAACTGGAAGGATGGAGGGCTAAGCTTATAGATAGCTATGGTAAAGTATTGGCTCATTTCAGGAAGGGTAGCATAAAACAATAAATTAGAAAATAGAATGATATCGTAGTCAGTTAAGATTGTTCGGGGCTGGGGATTTAGCTCAGCGGCAAAAAGGGCCTGCTTGGCAAGCGCAAGGTCGTGAGTTCGGTTCCCGGTACCGGAGAAAAACCAAAAAAAAAAAAAAAAAAAAGATTGTTCTTTCTTTTTTTCTTGGTTTTATTTTGTTTTGATACAGGGTTTTACTATGCAGTTCAGGCTGGCCCTGAGCTCACTTTGTAGCCCAGGCTGGCCTCAAACTCACAGCAACCCTTCTGCCTCAGCCTCCCAAGTTCTGGGATTATAGGCATGGGACACCATGCCCAGTTTAAGATTGTCTTTTCTCCTTTTTAACTTTCAAATCACCTTAAGTACATTGAATATGATCACTTTTACCTTAAATTTTGTTTCAAAAATGATGCCTGTCTCAGAGCATAGCTGTATTTATAACACAAAGTCCAGATTGGAGGTAAAGTGGCCAAGGTAGGGCAAGGGCCCATACTGTTTCATAATAACCACTGTGAAGATTCTAGAACCCATTTGTCTACATTAAGGGAATCTTGGAAAAGAATCCATCGCCACACCTTGGTGCAGTGTACTCCGAGAGAGCAGCTTTGTTTCTGCTTCACCTGTGAACTGTAGGATCTGTGGGGCGGACAGGCTCCATCCTCCCAGGGGTTCCATTTTGCTACATGGAGAAAATGAGCATGAGACGCTGTCACCATGGTCACGTGGTACTGGCTTAATGGATTTGGAAACATGATGTGATCGTGGGTTCCAAACAGCCAGAGAGAGCTTTTTGGGCAGACGCTGGCGGTGAAGTGGGATACAGACGCAGAGCCCTGTCGGGGCAGCAGGCTATGGAGGAGAGCTGCCCAGGTCTCAGCACAGCAGGACGTGGATGGTGGGTCCCCTTGTCCACAACCCCAGGGTCTCCAAATGACTGCGCCATGTCCCACCTGTCCTCCAGGTGGCCGGCCTGAAGGAGGCAGTGACCCCTCATTTCATGATTATATTTTTAGGGGTTTGTGAATGGAAATCCCTGCATACAAGGTAGTCAACTTTATGTCTTTCTATCCTTGAAGTTTCTTTGGGGCATACATAAAATTAGGAAACCGCTAGTGCTCAAGAGTTCTGGTATTCAGTCACAGCCTTGATTAGACCAAGAGACGATGGCAAACATGCCACAACCCAGGCATGCAGTCCTCACCTGCCCAAAGCACTCAAGCTATGCTTTGCCTTCACTTGGCAAAACACTTGCTGAAAACCTACATACAAAAGCTAGTGCACTCAGCTTTGATCGAGACAAGACACACACTGTCCTGAGTCCTTCTCTTCAGGAGATTTAAGTGACCAACATTTGAAAGCAAACCTAACCTACCCACACATTAAGAAAAAACAGTGCTGTGAAATCTGAAGGGAAGAATATTCTGCCTTTTCTAGATGACCCGGCACAATATCATGGTAAATGGCTACTATGGTGGGAGATGGTACTATTTTATAGTACGTGCCTGCAAGCGAGAGCATAGGTGTCCGGGGAGGGGAAAGAATACCCTGTGTTTATACCCAGCATAATTAAGTTACTTAGCACTGACACGAACACTTTCATGTTGAACTGTCATTGTGCAAATGCCAGTTAAGTATCAAAATTCAAATAACACAGCTGGCTAGGTCATTTGTTTTGAGTCATTGTGGAAGAACAAGCTTTGCCACTTTGAAAAATGGTGAAAGGGAGCTCCATTTCCTTACTCTCCCATTCTCCAGTAATGGCTAACACCACTGATGCGCATAGCACTGTTGGGTGGTTTGGAGTATGGTTGGGAGTGTTCCTTTATCCCTGTTTTTGTTATTATCCTAGAAAGCCCTACGAGACCATGAAAGGCATTTTTATCAAGTTTACAGCAGAATCATCAAAGATGACGTCATCTTGCGTATATAAGAACTCCCACTGAAGAAGCCTGCAAAGCAGTGTATGTTACCCGTCAGTGTTCAGTTACTGTAAGGGATACCCAAGGTAATCTTCCTACAGACAGAAAGGTCCATGTTGGCTCATAGTGTGGAGGTTTCAGTCCATGGTCAGGCAGACCCACTGCCTTTAGGCTTCCAGGGCAATGGTGGGAGCACAGGGTCGAGCAGAACTTTCACTTCATGGCTGGGAAGCAGAAGTGCAAGAAGAAGAAGGAGGGTCCCACAGATCTCTGCAAAGACAGTGACCTGACATCTTCCACTAGGTCCCACATCTTAAGGCTCCACCACCTCCCTGTGACACCATGCTGGGCAGCAGGCCTTTGAGGACACCTCAGATCCACTCCGAAGTATCCCCTCTCCACCGGAAGGTGAGGTCCACAGCTTGAACAGGTAATCCTAGCTCAAGACACTCATTCCACGGCCCCCCAAGAGCAAATCCAATCAGGAGGCTTTTTCCAGCTGCCTGAACTATCAGACTTACCCTCTGAGAATCAAGGATGTGTCACCCATTGAGAGAAAGAGTTATACGGCCACCAAAGCTTCACCTTGTCACACGATCGTGTGCTTTTGCCAAGAGAAACAGAAGGAACATATTTTCTCCTCAGGATGAGTTGCTTTTATCCAACAAAAAAATTAAAAGCACAGGAGAAAAAAAAGTTAAGTATTCTCTGCATGATCCAGAAATAAACGAACTCCTTTCGGCTGGCTGAAGGGTGTTGGATTGTGTCGACAGCGTGGACTGGATGACCAGGAAACTGCGCGCTAATTGGCTCTTCGGCCCGTTTTCCTTTGCTGTGTCTGCCAGGTGGGGCCCTGACTTCCGGAGGGCGTCTGGCGCTTGGTGGCACCCTGCCTGTTATCTCTGTCTGGCAAGCCGCCGCTCTGCTCCCAGAACTGCACAGCCTTCCAGGGCACTGACGATAAGTCATTCGCAGTCCGCCAGGCCAAAAGTTTTCTTGGCCGAGGGACTGAGGAAGACCATTGTTGTCGCTGGCTGTTATCTCCCGCCCGGCTCGGCTTGGCAGGGGCGCAGGTCCCTCTCTGCAGTGTGGAAACGGGGCACCGGACCCCGGAGGGGCCGACACGTTAGCAAACAAGAGGCACAGAGGAAATAGCAACCAGTCTTGAAAACAAAAAAAGAAACATTTTGAAGTTTATTGGATGCCGAGATGTTTGTCCTTCATAGCTCAGCCGGCTTTATCTCACCGCCCAGCCTTCCTATCAAAGAAATGGGGAAGTTAGCAATTTATCAAGTGGGAATCGGCTATGGTGTTTACATTTGACTGACATAGCACGGAAAGTATTTCTTGGTGCCGGAGGTACGGTTTTCCTTCAAGGCAAATTTCTATCTTTGTCGTTCATCTCCCCTTTGTCAGACTCCATATATATTCTAGGAAACCCCCATGACGGGGAGGTTTCTTGTCTCTCTGGGCCACCAGGGAAGCCCCCCAGACTGTGACCTCAGAAGTGCTTCCGGCAAGAAGACCATGCGAGCTTGCTCCTACCAAGGACAGAGAGCAGGACACGACCTGGGCTCGGGGCAGCTGGTCTGAGGCACAAGCCCAGGCGGAGTGGCAGCACGCTGCACCACACACGAGCTCCAGCACAGGTGGCAGAAACCGCCGCCGACAGCCCCACTCTCAGCACCCGCCTGGGTCACGGTGTGGTCCACACCGGCCAGCCGAATGCTAGTCTTCCATGACTGAGAGGGCCCCGTGAGATGAGGACTCAGCTCTGGAAAAGATGGCGAGCTGCCCCTGGGATTCTTGGGGACATGTGGGGTACGGGAGAAGCGGGCTGCAGTCCCAGGGCTTGCTTCCTCCCAGAGATCTAGAGCCAGTCAGAGTGCACGAGAGCAATGCTGTGTGCACCTGACACCCTGAGACTGGGATCACAGGAGCAATGGGACTTCCTCGGGTGACTCAGGGGCCTCTTATAATCCTGTGGTGACAGAGTCGTAGGGGGTGACTGTCCCTCAGTTCCCTTCAGAAAATTCTGGTTTTGTTCTGGTGTCTGGATTTGTAGCACCCTCTTCACGCTCAAAAGTGTCTTCATGTAGCTGATAAATGGCCCCTTTGTCAGTCCATGCCTTAGTGGAGCTCAGATGAGTTCAGCAATACCACAGGTACACAACTGGGCCTTCACGTAATTTGGTTTCCACAAAAACTTGTTAGTGCCGTGTGCACCAGCCACTGTGCTCAGCAATGGGACAATAGGAACACAATGACGTCCCCAGAGACCTTGGTCTAGTCAGAGACAGATACTGCAGGATAACCACATGGCCCTGTGCTACAGTGACCACACAGCTCCCACAGACAGGAGCTGGGCATCTCCAAATGTCAGGTTAGGGACTTGGGAGGATCGCCCCAGGGATGCCCTGGCTTTCAAATGAGGACGGCAATACTACTTCGGCACATGAGAAGACAGAAGCCATCGATCCATGCAGGAGACCTGCTTCCTGCTACGCTTCTGGGAGATGCTCAGCTGGACAGACTAATGCAAATGGGGAAGAGGGACACCTACTTTCCCCCAAAAATATGTGCAGTGTTTAAATGTAAGTACTTGTATCCAGTGTGTTTGGATGCCACCAATATACAAATATATCCAGTCCAAAGAAGCTAAGTTCCAGGTGTCTTAGTCTGTGCTGGTTACTGTAAGAAAGCACAAAATCTTGATGGCTTATAAGCCACAAAAATTATTTCTCACAGTTCTGGAGGGTGGGAGTCCCAGATGAAGGTGCTGGCAGATTTGGTGTCCGGTGAGGGCTGCTTTCTGGCTCACAGATGGCGCCTTCCTGCTGTGTCCTCACAGGGTAGGAGGAGCAAGGGGCGCTCACGGTGTCTTTCATAAAGGTGCTGATTCCATTCATGATGTCCTGTTCATCCCTCAAAGGTCCCACCTCCTGATAAATCATCTTAGGGGTTTGTTTACCACAGGAAGCTGGGGGCAGGGGTATTCAGCCCAAAGCCTCAGGCGTGTAGTATTGGATCAACCAGCAAATCCCTCAGTTCTAGTTTCACTCACATCACCAGGAGGCAGACCATTCTAGCAGTCCTTTCAGCTGTCTGCAGCACTGAAGCAGAGTGTTGGGTACTAAACCTTCTCTGGTCTCTGCAGTGGCTAAGCACACATGCCCGCATCTTTGAAGTCACTTCAAATTCGTGCACTTTCTACTTAGAGCTTCCTTCTCCCTCTTCACTGGTTGAAAGGTCACTCATACTTGAAGACCCAATTCACATGTCAGCTCCACAAGTGAAATCAGTCCTGCTTCTGTGAGGAGGGGTCCTGCTCTCATTCGGCATGTCGGTCCTTGAAGGCACTTAGTATGATGCTGTGTGTCCATCAAGTCACTGTCTCTGAATTCCGAGACACTGAATTCCTGAAAGCTAGACACTCTCTCTGACTCACCTTTGCAATTATAGCATTTAGTGGGGTTAGGAAATGTTAAATACTACTTTGAATACACATAATCATAGTTTTTTGCTATCTTTTTGAAAAAAGTCTACTACTCAGTGAGTTCTCTGGAAACAATACACGTAACTGTTAAGATGAAGAACTGAGAAAGACCAGGGCCCCGGAAGCTGCACCAAGAGCCCCTCCCAATCGCTGTATCCCTCCACCTCCCCAAAGGAAGTGTTGCTACCAGGTAATAGGTGCTTGTCCTGCCTGTTCTAAGTTCTTCTATTCTTTTCTGAAGTGACTATTTTAAAATATTTTTTCCCATGAACTTATAATTGTCAATCTTTTACTATTTTTTAGCAGTAGAGATTACATGGTTTGCTGCTAAATTATCAAAAGTGAGTACCATTAATAGTTCTGCTTCTAAATATAAGGAACTCTAGAACATTTTAACACCATCTATACCCCTCCTTGACATAGTTGAGGTTTTAAAAATCTTCCCATGTTCTTAAGTACCAGAATAGGATGTTGATATCATTTTATAAAGAACAACATTCACTTGGATTTAATCATTCATTTACCCCATTTCTCTGATCTTCATTTTCTCCTCCATCTCTGCATATGTAACTGAAATTGTTTTCCTTTGCCTAAAGGATAGTCTTTAGTATTTCCCCTTATTTGAGTTCTGCTTGTTAGAATCCTCTCACTTGTTCAGTTTCTTGTCATTTTTACAGGTTGTTTTCTTGGCACAGAATTCTAAACTTTGAAGATTTTACTTTTTTATCTTTTATTATTTCTATGAGAAGTGGCCTGTCAGACTTTTTTACTGCTCTCCTCCCCCTTTGGTTGCTTTAGAGATTTTTCTTTTTGTCTTTGTCTTTCAGCAGAATTTTACTATAATTGTTTCTTTATATTTATCCTATTTGAAGTTTATAATGACTCAAATCTATAACTGTCTTTTGTCAATTTTTATTTTAAAAATAAAAGAATGAAAACATATTAACAAACATACATACATTTATAAAATAGCACAAGAACAATACAAGCAATACTGAATTACAGACAAGGTGACAAGAGACTAACAATTGTTGTATTACATATTGATATCTTCAAAGTGGTACTCAGGAAAACAAATATAGACATGCAAGACTGATCAAATAATTAATCATTAACTGCTCCTTTCAATAAAATAATAGAAGTCAGTAGTACAACTATGGTAGCTATCCTGTGTATACATACATATAAAATTTCCCCTTCTTTCTTTTCTCTTTTCCCTCATCCCAGTTGCTCTTTACTTTTGAGCATTTTCCTTTTGTTTCACAGTGTCTATCATTCCTCCTAATTTTTATTCACTCTTTCAGGTTCTTACACTAGTGAGACAATTTGTTGCTTACACATGCAGGTTTGATTTATTTCACCTATGAATATGATCTCTAGTTGTGACCATTTACCTATAAAAGCCTCAAGTTTATCTTTCTTTATAGCTGAGTAATATTCCATTATATAAAAATGCCACAATTTTTTTATCCATTTCTCAGTGGATGGGCATTTGGCTTGCTTCCACAATTTAGCAATTACAAATTGCACTGCTATAAGCATGGGTGCACATATATTGCTGTGATATGATGTTTTCAGATCTTCTGGGAAAATACCCAGAAGGGGAATAGCTGGGTTGAATGGGACCTCTAGACCTAGTTTGCTGAGGAATCTCCGAACTGATTTCCACAGTGGCTTCACCAGTCTGCATTCCCACCAGCAGTGGAGAAGGGTTCCTGTTTCTCCACAGCCTCGCCAGCATTTGTTACTGGTTGATTTCTTATTGATAGACATTCTTACTGGGGTCTTTCATCAATTTTGAAAAATTCTCACATTTTATCTCATTTAATCTCATTCTTTCTTTTCAGAACTCCAAACACATTATATTTTTCATCATATCCTATTCTTTCCTCTTTCAGTATTTTCTAAACTTTTCTGTCAGTCTGGATATTTTCTTGTTTTTCTTTTTCTTTCACTTCTCACAGGTTCTCTTTTCAGCTGTATCTCATCTACTAAATCTTACCCATTCTTAATTTTTATTGTACTTTTTAGCTACAGAATTTCTATTTCACGTTTTTATAGGTCTTCCAGTTCTCTGCTTGAATTTCCAATCTTACCTTTTATTTCTTTAAATACATTAATCATTGTTAAAGTCTGTGTAAGAATGTCGTCCCCATGAGTCCATTTTTATTTCAGTCACATTGCCTTGATGCATTGTCTT